AAAAAAAAAAAAAAAAAAAGGAAACCAAAAAGGTGGGAATACCAAAGTTCATTCCTCAGCAGTGGAAGTGATACTAGCGTGACTTTTGATTATCAAATCTGAAACTTTCGAGATAAACTCTGGAAACTCAATTACGTACCAAAATTTACATATCTGAGGGTAGTTTCCATCGCAACTGGAAAGTTCTTGAACTTATTGAAAAATGAAACCTAATAAAATAAAATAAATCACCCTTCTACACTGTGATTGATGCATCGCGGAAGTTTCTAAATAAAATATCTGCGACATTTGAGGAATGCTTCTGAAACAGTTATGCTCAATCAGTTGAACGGACGGAACCCATTTCTCTCCCACACCTGACAGATTTATCTCCCGTTTTGCCGGTGCTAGATTTATCTGTCTCCGCCCTAGGGTTGAGACGGGGGGATTCCCCTATTCATAACAATGGCATGACGTCACTTCAACAATACAATGACGTCACGTCAACAATCCATCAACAAATTGCCTGTATGTGTTTTGGGTCCATGTTTACCTTTATTTCACATTAAAATACTGTTAGATATGGGAGAAAAATAATCAATCGCTACTGGTTGTGTAAGATAGAGAAATCTCAACCCTCGGACTAAGATTTTTTGTCCAGAACACGGCAAGCCTCGTTCTGGACAAAAAATCTTAGTCCGAGGGTTGAGATTTCTCTATCTTACACAACCAGTAGCGATAGATTCCATTAGTAACTCCCTGCCAACTTTCGTATCCGGGAGATAAAAACAAAGAACATGGTGATGGAGGCTACGGTTAGTGTGACGGTACGGTTACGGTTAGTGCGACGGTAAGGTTACGGTTAGTGTGACTGTAAGGTTAAGGTTAGTGTGACGGTAAGGTTACGGTTAGTGTGACGGTAAGGTTACGGTTAGTTTGACTGTAAGGTTACGGTTAGTGTGACGGTTAGGCTGTATTGTTCGGTTTGTAATGTCTCTGGTATCAGTTTACCTGTAGTACATGTATATGTATGACATTTTTGTGGCTTAGTCTTTGATATTACATTAGTTTTTGTTTCTTGGTGATTTGAATGGTGTGATTTTGAGAAGTTTGTTTCCTGGTTATTTGAATGGTGTGATTTTGAGAAGTTTGTTTCCTGTATTCTATCCTTGCGAACTGAACGTATAGATTGAACAAGAGAATGTCTCCTTCCATAAATTGTTTCCGTACAAAAAATAAAAATAAAATGGTTTTCTCAATCAACGACAAGGGTTGGCACAACCTACGCCAAATCCGTTATCGTTAATGATGTCTGTTTTCTCAAACACCTTCCTCAGGTTTGTGATCTCCTCCTTGTCGAACATGCCCCTGTAAATTAAACAAACGTCCTTTGATAGGGTTTTTTCATATATTTCCTATAGAACATATTTTATTAACAGAACAATACAAATATATTTTTTTTAAATTCAAACGTCTTATGAGGTTAATCGTACCGCGCTAAACATTGATTTGTAAACATTACCATAGCATTCTATGGAAATATATGTTCCATTTAATTACTGAATACGTAACATATTCGAAAACATTTTGGGGAAAATGAAATTGAACACCTCGCAAAGCCTTTCCGTCATATATTTAATAAAGGAAGAACTTGTAGCATTGGTCTCTATTTCACTATTTGATATATAAATCCTCTGTAAGAATGGTCATTAGCATACGTTTTATAACATATCCTAAAGGAAATCTTGTGTAATTATGATACGTATTATATGTTGTATGTGTTATAGGAAGTGTTATCTTGTATTGGTCACTATCATAATTACATTCCTATCGTCTTCCTCACACACAACAAATAGAATATCATGAAAACATAAAAGAATAACAATGAGTATGAGTTTCTTGGAAGACGAGATAATACATATGATGTTGCTAAACACTTACTTGACTAAGATATATCCCTGGTGATCGAAACTCTTCTTCATATCCTGAGTCACCCGGAAACCCTTCGGTGTGAACGAGTACACTATGTAAAGAAACAAAAACAGTGATCGACAAGACGTTTTTGGGTTTTGGGGACAAAAACGCATCCTTAAACAGTGTAATAACCTGTGATTGCTGCTTCTTATGATAGAGAATAGACATAGACACACAGTGACTATATCTGGAATACAGCGAATACATGTCATATATAAGAGGTGGACGCTGGTACATACACTATTTACAGTCAGTTCTTTCCTATTGTTGTTGATATTAATTAGATTAAACCAGCAGAGCAAATAAGCATTTATGGAAGTATACATGATAACGTTTGCATCTATCGTTCTAAATCGAAAGTAAATTTATGACTTCGATTTAAACATTTTCTTATGTTATAGATTATTTCTAGCAGTTTAAAACAAACCATCTGAACAAAAAATACAACAAGAGGTCTAGAGTGTTTTTTTAAAGGTAACCCTTAGAGTTAAACTTGTTCAACTTACCTCCACTCAGTGTCGCCATTATTGTGGTATCACGGTAATATCACGCCTGGAATTACAAAATACGTATCTATGTTGTCACGTGGATACTTCAATCGCCATTTCCCCTGAAAACTAAAATCCTACTCTTCATCTCATCCGCCAGCCCCTTCATCATTAAAGCCAACCCCCGCAATTCATCACACACCCACTCCAACCCTTCATCTTTCATCACAATTCTACCTGTCCTTACTTATTACTCAGCCAAATTCAACCCTTCATTATACAACCAACCCCTACCCTTCATCACACAGCCAACCCCAACACTTCATGATACAGCCAACCCCTACTGTTCATCATACAGCCAACCCCTACTGTTCATCATACAGCCAACCCCGACATTTCATCACATAGCCAACCCCTACCCTTCATCATACAGCCAACCCCTACCCTTCATTATACAGCCAACCCCTACCCTTCATCACACAGGCAACCCCAACCCTTCATTGTACAGACAAACCATATCCTTCATCATTAGGTCAACCCCTGCCCTTCATTAGTTAGCCAACCTCAACGTTTTATCGTACAGACAAACCCTACCCTTCATCACTAAGCCACCTCCTACCCGTCATACACTGACAAGCTAGCACCTCATCACTTAGCTCTTTCACTTCATCACACAGCCAGCCCCTACCCTTCATTTACTTAATCACACAGCCAGCCCATACCTTTCACACACAGACAAGCTAGCACCTCATCACTTAGCTCTTTCACTTCATCACGCAGCCAGCCCATACCCTTCATACACATACAAACTAGCCCTAAAACACTCAGCTCTTTCACTTCATCACACAGCCAACCTCTACCCTTCATATCATTACTTCAATTCGCGCCACTCAGCCGAGCCCTGATCTCCATTACCCCTTCATACACATACAAGCTAGCCCCACATCACTCAGCTATTTAACTTCATCACAGTCAACCCATGCCCTTCATACACAGACAAGCTAGCCCCACATCACTAACTCTTTCACTTCATCACACAGCCAGCCCCTACCCTTCACACACAGACAAGATAGCCCCAAATCACTCAGCTCTTTCACTTCATCACACAGTCAACCCCTACCCTTCATTCACTTCATCACACAGTCAACCCCTACCCTTCATTCACTTTATCACACAGCCAACCCCTACCCTTCATACACAGACAAGCTAGCCCCTCATCACTTAGCTCTTTTACTTCATCACACAGCCAACCCCTACCCTTCATACACAGACAAGCTAGCCCCACATCACTCAGCTCTTTCACTTCATTACACATCCAACCTCTATCTTTCATCACTCAGCAAACTCAATACCTCTTCACTAAGCCAGCCCCTAAACTTCATTCCTAAACCAATCCATACCCTTTATCACTCACCCAACAACTGGTCTTCATTACTCAGCCAATCGCTACATTTCATACCTAAGCCAACATCTACCCTTCATGTCCCAGCCCACCCTTTCAAATTATCACTCAGCCAACCAACATTGCAAGATCAGTTCATCGGAAAGTCATTTAAAGAAATAGTCAGGGAAAACATCCCAAATTAGATATAAGTGATGATGAAGTACTTACCGTGAGATCTCAAGCTGATATTAAGCTGAAGTTAAAGGCGAAGGCAGATAAGGTGTAAAGGCATCCTTGCCATTAGGCAAGTAGTCCGACACAACCAGGTACTAGAGAATGCGTTTGTAAGTTAATTTGACCTGCTTATGAAGCGAGCAGTATTAAACAACTTCATTCAAAAATGGTCTTACATTGTACGTAACAATTAAATTATGACATTATTATTATTTTACATGCTCCAATAGAATGGGTTGGCTTACCATTATAGAATTAGTACATGTAATTAAGCATTGTTAATTTTAGATAGTAGTATAGCAGTGAATATTTCATATATTGCACCTCGACACAATATTCAGAAATCATATCATTTTGATAAAGTGACGTTATATTTGTCCTATATACACTGTTGCTATGACCTGTCCTATCTGTCCTGTTGCTATGACCTGTCATATCTATCCTGTTGGTAGGCCTGTCCTATATATTCTGTTTGCCTCTCCTATCTATCCTGTTGGTAGGCCTGTCCTATCTATTCTGTTGGTAGGCCTGTCCTATCTTTCCTGTTGGTAGGCCTGTCCTATATATCCTGTTGGTAGGCCTGTCCTATATATTCTGTTGTTATGACATGTCCTATATACACTGTTGCTATGACCTGTCATATCTGTACTGTTGCTATGATTTGCCCAATCTATCCTGTTGCTATGACCTGTCCTATCTATCCTGTTGCTATGACCTGTCCTATATATTCTGTTGGTATAACCTGTCCTATCTATTTTGTTGGTAGGCCTGTCCTATCTGTCCTGTTGGTAGGCCTGTCCTATCTGTCCTGTTGGTATGACCTGACCTATCTGTATTGTTGCTATGACCTGTCCTATCTATCCTTTTGGTATGACCTGAACTATCTGTTGTGTTGTTATGATCTGACCTATCTGTCTAGTTGGTATGATCTGACCTATCTGTCCAGTTGGTATGATCTGATCTATCTGTCCATTTGATATGATCTGACCTATCTGTCCAGTTGGTATGATCTGACCTATTTGCCCAGTTGGTATGATCTGACCTATCTGTCCAGTTGGTATGATCTGACCTATCTGTCCAGTTGGTATGATCTGACCTATCTGTCCAGTTGGTATGATCTGACCTATCTGTCCAGTTGGTATGATCTGACCTATCTGTCCAGTTGGTATGATCTGACCTATCTGTCCAGTTGGTATGATCTGACCTATCTGTCCAGTTGGTATGATCTGACCTATCTGTCCAGTTGGTATGATCTGACCTATCTGTCCAGTTGGTATGATCTGACCTATCTGTCTTGTTGGTATGATCTGACCTATCTGTCCAGTTGGTATGATCTGACCTATCTGTCCAGTTGGTATGATCTGACCTATCTGTCCAGTTGGTATGATCTGACCTATCTGTCCAGTTGGTATGATCTGACCTATCTGTCCAGTTGGTATGATCTGACCTATCTGTCCAGTTGGTATGATCTGACCTATCTGTCCAGTTGGTATGATCTGACCTATCTGTCCAGTTGGTATGATCTGACCTATCTGTCCAGTTGGTATGATCTGACCTATCTGTCTTGTTGGTATGATCTGACCTATCTGTCCAGTTGGTATGATCTGACCTATCTGTCCAGTTGGTATGATCTGACCTATCTGTCTTGTTGGTATGATCTGACCTATCTGTCTTGTTGGTATAACCTGTCCTGTGTGTATAGTTGGTTTGTAACCTGTCTTATCTGTCATGTGTGTCCAGTAAGTTTTAGATCTGTCCCATCCGTCCTCTCTGTCCTAGATAACCAGTTCGTTTGTTTTTGTTATCTAATATTGTATATATCTATTTAGAGGTCGAGTTTGATTGGTGCGTTCCGTACAATCTACCGTGATAATCTAACGTGGGGTATTTAGTTTGGTTCTTGTATACAAATGTAGTGAGCTCTGTACATTGTGGCATGGACTATTTAATTAATGTGTTCTGTACAATCTTACATGGGGTTTTTGATTATAAAGATTCTTTACAATCTAGCATGGGCTATTTAATTTGTGTTTTCTGTATAATGTAACGTTGTATATTTGGTTAGTGTGTTATGTACAATCTTAGATCAATCTGACATGGGCTATTTAATTTGTGTTTTCTGTATAATGTAACGTTGTATATTTGGTTAGTGTGTTATGTACAATCTTAGATCAATCTGACATGGGCTATTTAATTTGTGTTTTCTGTATAATGTAACGTTGTATATTTGGTTAGTGTGTTATGTACAATCTTAGATCAATCTGACATGGGCTATTTAATTTGTGTTTTCTGTATAATGTAACGTTGTATATTTGGTTAGTGTGTTATGTACAATCTTAGATCAATCTGACATGGGCTATTTAATTTGTGTTTTCTGTATAATGTAACGTTGTATATTTGGTTAGTGTGTTATGTACAATCTTAGATCAATCTGACATGGGCTATTTAATTTGTGTTTTCTGTATAATGTAACGTTGTATATTTGGTTAGTGTGTTATGTACAATCTTAGATCAATCTGACATGGGCTATTTAATTTGTGTTTTCTGTATAATGTAACGTTGTATATTTGGTTAGTGTGTTATGTACAATCTTAGATCAATCTGACATGGGCTATTTAATTTGTGTTTTCTGTATAATGTAACGTTGTATATTTGGTTAGTGTGTTATGTACAATCTTAGATCAATCTGACATGGGCTATTTAATTTGTGTTTTCTGTATAATGTAACGTTGTATATTTGGTTAGTGTGTTATGTACAATCTTAGATCAATCTGGCATGGGCTATTTAATTTGTGTGTTCTATATATTATAACGTTGTATATTTGGTTAGTGTGTTATGTACAATCTAATATTGAGTATTTAGTCTTAAGATTCTTCACAATCTAACAAGGGGTGTTTAGTTTGTGTGCTCTGTACACTTTTACATAAGTGTATTTTGTCCGTGTATCCTGCACAACAAAAACGTTGTGTTCCTAGTTTGTTTGTGTCTGGTTAGTTTGTTTGTGTATGGTTAGTTTGTTTGTGTGGTTAGTTTGTGTCTGGTTAGTTTGAAATGCACTTTCTAACGTCAATTGGTCCTGTCCTTTTCTGTCTGAGATAACATACTCTGAGTTTTACGCTGTGTCTAAAATAACGTATGTCTGCCCTATCTAACATTACGTATTTCTGCTCTATCTAACATAACGTATTTCTGCCCTAACTAACACAGCTTATTACGCTCTGTCTAAAATAACGTATGTCTGCCCTATCTAACATTACGTATTTCTGCCCTATCAAAAAAGTTCTGTCTTACATGACACGATCCTGCCCTAATTCATAATTACACATGTACAGTTAGTTTATCCTTAACTATCTAACGCCGAGTGGTCTTGACCTTCTTAAAATGCATGATGTCATGTGATTTTTCAAATCTGTTTATGCTAACGTATATACATTATTGGGTGATTTGTGTTGCTATATTTCACGTGAGTTGTCCATATGACTAAATATGATCTTTCTGACAGCAGGTCTGTATATATTCTGTTATAGATTCTGCTGTTATCCATATTTGTCCCTTATCTTCAAAAGATGCAACATCCAGTTTTAAACGTGATTTAAGCATAGGACGGCCCAACAGGACAATTGTTTTCGTTTATACATAAGTCATATTCACCTTTAATTGAACATAGATACTTATGTTACCATCAGAAAATTATTTTGTCATCAATAATTGCACGACTTGCAATGTTTGGAGTAAGAAATATTGCGAAAACGTTGGAGCAAGGGTTTTCTTGTATGCTAAGGCTGTCTTTAAGTATTATTTAAAAAAGAAACTAAAAGTCCTCATTTTAACATCTGTTTATCATGGAAGACACACAATATCCACTAGGAAAGTCTTATACATCTATTTTGGATGATAATCTGATGTTAACATTATATAATCATCAATTACACGTGCCCACAAATCACTGCGTACCTAATGATAACGGTTATATATAATCTGTTCAATCAAATATCATTACTACTTTTCACACTTGGCTTGTCTTTCAAGAATAGCTTGTCCAGCCGTATCTGCTTTGGTCGGGTCCCAGAAATCTTTACCGGTAAAATCATTGTAATTAGTGCAGTTCCTTACAGCACTGTCCGGCACCTGTGGATAAAATGGTCAAATAATCGTAACTCACCGATTTGAACATGAGACATACTTGTATATATTTACCAAATTGTTATATCAGAGACTAACGAATCACATATTACTCGTAAATATACTGATGGGAAGCAAACATATGCTTTAATTGATGAGCAGTATACTAAAAAAACCGATATAAGAACTCGTGTTAAAATGATAAAAATAAATAGAACTAAAGAAACATTTCAATTTCAATTACTTCAAGCATTTTATGTTGTTCGGAAGTCTATATATAAGAATTCTCCAAATAATTTGTTTGAATGAAATATATATTATGTGTATATGAATGACAACTGGACAAAGCCACATCCAATGAAGCGCAGTAGCACCTTGGGTAAGGGCGTGTTGCTGGTCGTTAGACTGGCTGTGGTATTTTACCTTGTGTAGAGGTGTGTATTGTGAGTGGTGATGAGGCACTAGGGCGTTGTTCGCCTTAGTATTGTAGGCAGTAAGTAAAGCCCACCGTCTATCAGCACTCTCATTGCCAGAACTCGTGTGTAACAGGTTACAGTGGAAGAACAATGTGTCACCTGCAACACAATTACAGGTATTACACTGTCAAACTCAATACTATTCCCATGTACATTTGCATTTAAGGTAATTAGATATGAAACACACCAAATCACGGAAAGTTCTGCGACGAAACTGCTAAAATAAAGCATGCATGTTGTGTGTTAAAGTATGGAAGTTTTGCTAGGTACAATATCAGCCTAACCTTTATATACGGACTTCAATCTCACTCAGCAAAACTACACAACACATCAGATTCTAAAACATAGAAGGATCAGATCGGAGGATAGTTTATAAAGAATTGACCTACATGTGGGTCTTGGCATCTACTTGGTAGGATTATAAAGAGGCAGTTCCTTAGATTAGTAAAAATAGAGATACATTGTATGAAAACCTTTATTAATTTGAGAGAAAAAATATTGTCTGTCTGCATCGTATTTATAATGTCAGCAATTATATACGTTGTGCTGATACGGGGAGCATGGAAGTGAGATATTCCAGAATAGATGTATGAGAAGAATAGATCAGGGAAAATCAGAGGGCTGGATGTTATTTTAAATTGGAGGTTTAACATTATGACATGGACAGGTTCAGGAAGCTAGTAAGTAATAATAAGGAGAGAGAAATGGATTAAACATATTAGGATTCATTAAAGATACTAGACGCTTTTACTAGATTATACTTACTTGTTTATCTATTTTCACATGACTTTGCTGTGTGGAATAATGCTAGCACATAATTGTACTATGTGCTGTCCACCAGCATCATTTTAATTGCCATTTTTTTTACAATCTAGCTTTTGTAACAACAATTTAAAAATAAATAAATAATGACATGCAAATATCAATATATATAATATACATGTTTTATCATTACTTCAATTCAATATGATTTGTATAAACTGTTTATAACTGCAAGGAGAGGGCGCTTTAGGCTTTGCCTGTTGCCCAATTCCTTTGTATCTAAGATATGAACAATAAATATTCTGAAATGAAATCATATTTGGAGACTCGAGCGATAAAAACACTCCATGATTTCATTTACATGACAAAAAAAAAAATGGAAAGTAAAGCAGCAGAGTACACGGAGGGGTACAGTTTAAAAAGAAAGGAAACATTGGGAAGGATAAGGGGAGCTCGGCAAGGGTGGTAGTAAATGATCGCGCAAAATGGGGATGTATCCAAGCCTTACGTGCCCCCAGTCTCTACGATGTTAGAAGATAAAATGAATACTTAAAATTAGAGAAGATTGTTCAAGAAATTTTTCAAATATTATATAGCAATACCTTGATAAAATGGAGAATATTTATTTGTTTTCACATTGATTTCAACCGAAATTGCGCACGTCTGATTATGGTAATGAATGATTAGCTTAAACCAAGCAGGAAATATTAACTCAAACGTAAAGAGAACGAAAAGTACAAACCTCTTTGGCTTTGCTAATGCATCGGGGTAAGTCAGGTAGACAATTTAGATAAATAGAAATGGTTGAACTTTGGGGATTTCAATCACAGGTTCTATTCCTGTGTACTTATAACAACAATTGATAACACTATTTAGCATGAATAGTAATTGGCTTACAGTAAATGCCATAAAACGAACTTGTTTGAATATTCTAACAATTTTTTGGAATTTGTCTTTTAACTGAAACGGTAAATTCTTGGACTTTTTCACTGCTGGTAAAATGGCCCGTTGTGTATATGTAAACCCAATGGGAAGAGATTTGTAATCCTGAAAGCGATTCGAAATAAAAGAAATAAAATGAAAATGACCTAGCAGTTGTTTCATTTCATTTTTATCGATGATGAATGGAACAACATTACATTGGCGTAGCAACAATCGTAAAACTAAGTATAAAAGTATAAAACTAGTTACCTGGGTCCATCTCTACGTAAGCCTTAGGGCAGACTTTCTCGATAGCAGACACTCGTTCAGAATCCGCGCGGTTTTGGCCATGTGTGACACCGTGCTCAATACGACCACACTTGTTAGAACCAGGCAGGATCTGTCAGAGACATTTTATGTTAGGTATGTGTACATATAGCTATGCAATGAATACGAAGTTTGAAAAGAAACCAATAGTCTATCTTATGTACAAATCACGCATTGCATCACAAATGCTGTGTTATAATGTAAAATGTTACCTGCAGACATCCATTTGAACGTGAGCATTTGTCGATAGCTATGAACACCGTCATCAAGTCGGGAAACAGACAACTGTTGTGATACCAGTACCTGGGGAGTATAGAGAGGATTGCAACACCATGTCAATGTAACAGACAGATTGCACGGTAATATTTCCATTACTTTATGTGTACTTCGCAGTTATGACGACACAGATAGTGAATAATTGTTATCATGACGTTTCAAAGGCTAAATATTTTTTTCAAGGACAAAAATTAAATTTCGATACGAAAAGACGACTCAACATTGTGGTAGAAACCGAAATATTAGAAATTAATATCATTATTTGTACATTATTTACCCGTAGTCCTGGTGCCAGACGAAGGCACCTCCGCTGAAGGGATCTTTGTAAACCAATTTGGAATGGTAATGGTAAACTTCGTCTCCAAGCAGCTAAACAAATAATACATGACATGATTCGTGAGTTCAAATGTATTTGTTTATTATATAAAAAAAACTATTTCCACATATATACATTCTCTAGTTCGCATCAAAGTATATTCGCAGTGAAAACAATGTGCTTGATTTATTCTACTTTGAACAACCGATACTATAAATGTAAAATGATAATAATAACTTGTGTAACATAAGTCATAGCTGTTGCGTCGTAATTCATTTTGGCATACTCGGTTTATTATAAAATGTTAATGTGTAGTCTAATGTGAATGTGTTACTCTCATTTATCTTTCAAGATACAAGGTGGGAGGCTCTGATGTTGGATTACTTTGTCCCCGGGGTTTGCCGTTTGAAATATTGCTGTAACCAGTACTACGTTAAGTATTGAAGTTCCTGTCATTTAGGGATGTAACGTCACCATCCCCCCTTTGTTGTGTGTCATCAGTAGTTTGGACCAATTTACATTTAAGCCATAGGATTGATTCTTCCTAGGATGACAAAACAGCCGTATGATGTAGTGTAATTCATTTTTTCGCGTGCTGGATCTATTACCAAATATTTTAGGTGCTGGATCTATTACCAAATGTTGTAGGTGCTGGATCTATTACCAGATGCTGTAGGTGCTGGATCTATTACCAAATGTTTTCGGTTCTGGATCTATTACCAAATGTTGTAGGTGCTGAATCTATTACCAAATGTTGTAGGTGCTGGATCTATTACCAAATGTTGTAGGTGCAATATAAAGTATGTGTCTTACGTTCATCCTTTAAGACAACAATCGCAATTAATCATTTTTGACTTCTTGTGAGTACCATGTGATCAAGCGATTTGTTTTGTTCTTACGTCTTCACAAGTATTGACGACCTTCTCACAACGTGCCATCATTCCAGATACGTCATTTCCGGGACTATTCCACAACACCATCCTCCCTTTTTTTCCATCTGCATCTTCCATCTGTAACATCAAATAAAAACAAGTGATTTCACATTGAACATAGCTATACATATAGGAGGCAACCTGTTAGAGCCGTTCGTAAGTGTGACGGGATAGCGTTGGTCTTAAACGTAAAGTTCGTCTTGTGTATTGTGATTGTCATTTATTTAACTTATAGAATTACCTTTTTCGCCATTAATTTCCAAGTACAATATTCGTTATGATATTTCTCTATTGAGCAAGCATATACCGACGGACAAAACTAACTGTAAACCCGTTATCCTCGATGATGTTTCCGTCCTCAAACACCTTCTTCACGTTAGTCATCTCCTCCTGGTCGAACAAGCCCCTGTATAATAAATATTACCAAAGTGTCATTTTTTTCAACATGAGTTCGGTGTGTTTTAAATAAATATATATACTGGCACAATATTATTTAAATATCTAAAAGCTTTTGCTTCACCTTTTAATGATGTGCGCATTACTAAACGTATTGCAAAAAAACACTATTAAAGCATTTCCATTAATTGTTCTGACCTGTTAATGCGTTAATTTTTACCGAACCAAAAATTATCAGTTAGTGAAATAATATTGGATAGAAACATTGCTTAGTCTTTTGATCTTGTCATTAGATATAGGAAGTGTTGTTCAGTATTGTTTTCTATCAAAGGGTTTACATCCTAATTCTTAAAATATTTACTTTTACACAGCAAATAGAACTAACAAAAAAACAAAAACATTTTGATATATATACATAAATTTCTTCATAATCTATAATTATCAAAGCAAATGCAGATGATGATGCCAAACACTTACTTGACTAAGATATATCCCTGATCATCGAAACTCTTCTTCATATCTTTCGTCACCCGGAAACCCTCCGGTGTGTACGAGTAGACTGTGTGAAGAAAAAAATAAGAAATCCAGATCAATAGTTGTATCGAGAATGCAACTGATACGTATTACATATATAGGTTACCAATAAACAGTTAGTAGTAGGGTACAGTAGTACCCATAATAGTGGGTAAGAATAGGATTTTAAACATATTGTTTCCATTTGTTATCTCCCAGTTATTTTTTAATTTCTCACACAATCCGAGTAATCAGTCATTTTTCGAACATAAATAGGTATCCAATGCAATGCATCCAGCGTTATAAGTTCAAAGAAAATGTCTTCCTTTATTTGAGCGATATATGATTTATAGTGGTAATGTCTATCTATTTATATGTTATACTCCACGGAGACTAGAACGACTTTAATGCGTTTAACTATATAAGTTTATAGTATCTCTTCACAACAAAAAATAATATCACAAATATAGAGGATCTCTTTATAATATACCATGTTTATTAGTCTTGTTTAACTTACCACCTGTCAGTGTCGCCATTACAGATGTTTACAGCACGCTTACACCTGGAATTACAATGATATTTCATACAGACCTGCTGTCAGAAAGATCATATTTAGTCATATGGACAACTCACGTGAAATACTGCAACACAAATCACCCAATAATGTATATACGTTACTAATTACAATGATTTTACCGGTAAAGATTTCTGGGACCCGACCAAAGCAGATACGGCTGGACAAGCNCTCTCCATTACCCAAGTATCCCACACTTCATCACTCAGCCGAGCCCTGATCTCCATTACCCAGTCATCCCACCCTTAATCACTCAAACAAGCCCTGGACTTCATTACCCAGTCATCCCACCCTTCGCCACTCAGCCGAGCCCTGATCTCCATTACCCAGTCATCCCACCCTTCATCACTCAGCCGAGCCCTGATCTCCATTTCCCAGTCATCCCACCCTTCATCACTCAGCCGTGCCCTGATCTCCATTACCCAGTCATCCCACCCTTCATCACTCAGCCGAGCCCTGCTCTCCATTACCCAAGTATCCCACCCTTCATCACTCAGCCGAGCCCTGATCTCCATTACCCAGTCATCCCACCCTTCATCACTCAACCGAGCCCTGATCTCCACTACCCAAGTATCCCCTTGCACTTCATCGATCATCCGACCCTACGACCGAATCCATACCCTATCCTTGGTACTCCTGGGTAACACTCACTGACTTTCTCTGCTTTCATGTGATATCTCACGACAAAACTGAAGTCTCGGTGCGTACCAAGTTTGAACAATTGATGTACAAAATTGACCGGCTATGAAGTCACGTGTCGCTCTTCTGTATCCTTAAAGACAGGTGTCAGCCAAGCGTTTGGTAAGTTCTTAACTGAATCAATCAAATAGCTACTCATGTGCTTTTAATAATGCTATGTCATATTCCAGGGGTGCACAGAGCGTAAGTGAGCGTAGGCCCTGTGGTATCGAGAATGCACATACCGTTCATCACACAGCCAACACACCTACTTCGTCTCTAGGACAATAGCAAACGTTCATTACTCAGCGAAACTCTGACCATCAATCACACCAACATCGCTTACCTTTCATTAACATGGTTGGCTTGAAAAAAGTTTTACTTTTAACAGTAAAAAGTCTTAACCACTTGTGATTTGTCAAATTTTCGTTTCACCATTGATTCGTATAGAAGGGTTTCATATATTAGCTATGTTGAAATAGTCATCTCTATTTAAAGTCAATATCAAGCTAGGGCTACGTTAATATACCGAAATATAATCACTAGTAATACGGAGTATGTATGCACTTAATTACAATTTGGAAACACGATGCAGAATTTCAAACGAAGTTAACAGATAATGCCTTATATCGCAATGTCGTCTACTTCAGACTCATTGTTGGTACTGAAATAAAATAAAAAAATGAATCTACATCTGGTGATTTCGACAAATCTTATTACATCAAAATGGAAAAATGTCTATAACACGAACTGTACTATGTTGCAAACAGATGATTCATTTTTAAACAAATGCTTAATTCATATAGACTGTGCCCAAATTAATTTCAGAAACAAAATTACTGCCAACACAGGGGACTGACAGGCAACTAGCAGAGCCAACTACCTTGTTCCGAAAATAATCACTAGATGTATGAAGTAAGAATGCAACATTTCAAAGTCAGCTAATTTTACCACTATTTATAATCGGTTTTATCTGTATATGTTATCAGAGATATTTTATTGTGTATCAGTACGTCATCAATAGCTTCAATAAGTGAATTTGAAAATTAATTAAAAAATCTTGTTTCATTTACTTTTAATTATCATAATTTCATATTTTGTTAATGACAATGACTGTAAAGAACACATGTTTGTATATTATATGTAATACACACAATGAAGCATTTATCTGCCAACAGAAATAAATTGTATAGATATCACGCGCAACGAAATCTCCCAAAGGGTAAAGTGACATGGATCTTACGACACACATATAATAAAACATTTAGTCAGGAAGGTCAGTGTGTGGCTGGTTATTTCAAAACACGCCATGTTGAGGAATAATACACAATAGAAACTTAATCAAATATGTTTACAGTTGCTGAGAAGAAGGAGTTATCAGTCTTATTGACGAGACCATATTTTTAGCTTTAAAGTTTCCCAGATAACCTATCCTGGAAGGAGGTCACAAAAGGGCAAACATGACCTGTGAGACGACCCCTCCGCCGGCATTATCTTACTCACCTTGGAATCAACCAAGTTCAAGTTCGTTATTACTTTAAGTCGGTTGACTTATCAGTTATAACATATATACAAAACAATAAAGAGACAACATACAATATGATACACACACACATACACACATACACACACACATACACAATTCAACTTTTATTCCTTAAGTTTCACAACTTATTGGATAACTATAATTTACAATAAATTACAAATGATATATACATATATGTATTGTGCAATCAACACTCATTATCACTCCCACATCATTATTGTGCATTCAACAATCATTAACGCTCTAACATCATCATTATCATAATCATCATCAACATCATCATCATCATCTGACATTAACAACAACAACAACAACAACGTGTAATCCGTAATGATACAAATGTCAATAATGCATACACAGACATTAATATAAATTATATTGATATGCATGTTTACGTCACTCGTGCCTTATTTGCCTCAAAGATATATCTAGCAAGTTTACGAAGATCGCTGATATTATCAACACTTAGTAACTGTTCAAGTTTATACATTTAAGGATTTCGCCAGTAATATGGTTTTATGTATTTTACTCTCAGAATATGATAATTTCTGCATATTAAAATACAATGATATTCGTCTTCTATATCTGTATTGCAGCTCATACAGTGTCTTTGTTCTCTCGTTATGTTATTGTATCTACCAGTCTCAATAGCTAATTATGTGCAGAAAGACGAAGTTTAGATAAACAGATCCGGTATTTCATAGGAATATACTTTGTCAAATAGTATTGAAGAATATGGTAATTTGCTAAGTGCTTATATAAAATACATTATACACAATGCTAATTCTACACATATCCCAGAACACGTTCACACTGGATAGTAAAGACTGATATTTGTTTCCTAGTCTACACTTGTCAGCATAGGGTCATTTCTAAAGAAAGGACTAAATGAATACATATATTTGTTGAACAACATCGAATAAAAAATGTACGTACCAGAAATAGCGCAAATATATGGGTAGGTCCCCAGTCCAAGGTAAAACTACAAGTGCTGACCAGAGTAGCGCAGATCGCCCCGATACAATCCCCAAGCCCCGCCTCCTGACCCTGATGCCCCGCCTCCTGACCCTGATTCCCCGCCTCCTGACCCTGATGCCCCACCTCCTGACCCTGATGCCCCACCTCCTGACCCTGATCAACTCCATTGTTCTCCACATTCAAGAGATACAGCCATCAATCGAAATCAAAATACTGTAGAAAGGGAGAGGCTGGTATCTTCAACAATTGACTCGTGCTTTTATTCTGGTAGTGGTGCTTACATTTGTAGCACTGCTGACATTATATTTCTTTGGGTAGGCTGTTTAGATAGAATCTGATCACACTAAGGAATATGTCACAGTAGTTATCAGTAACCCCTTGATGTGACGATTTTGTTATAAATCGGGACTAAAAATAAGTCTTCTCTGGTATTTTCGTAGGTCTTTGTGTAAATATTTCCTTTGTTTATATTTTGCCATAATTTCATAGGTTTTCAGTTCGGATTACGGTTCTGTTTACATTCCCTTGTTGCTTTATTTACTTGTCTATCCAGCAGTAGATTGTACATAAAAAAAACTATCTTGCAGGGGAGTACCCTTTCCAGTCTCCATAATGTTGGCTACTTTGGTCTCAATTGAAAGCTTTCCGCTTGTGGTGTTGCAGAGGAGTGCTTTCCCGAATTGATCTTGATGTCCTATTAGGTGCACTGTCAACCCTACTGAACGAGGAGGAGGAGGAGGAGGAGGAGGAGGAGGAGGAACGTATGTCAACTTGAGGTGAATTATTACTAATAGTCAATACAATTTATATATAAAACGATTAACCAGGTACGGGTATCGGAGGTCCTCTGTTTTTTGTGATTTTTTATTTGATTAGGTATTCAAGCAAGTCATAAATTTCTATTCATGAAAAATATGTTTGAAAGAATGCACCATGATAAAGATAACCACACTTTCTTCGTGTGATAAATTTGAAATTAAAAATTTGGTCCTTACAAAGCAGAAAATTGAAAATTATGTTTTCGTTTTTCCGAACATTCGAGTTGTAGCGGTATATTATCATTTTTTTCTACTCTTGATTAAATGTTAAATTGCAACAGCTGAAACAGTTACAGACAAAATTTGGTTATAACACAAAGAAGTCTTGAATATGAAGACATTTTGAAAAAAAAGCCGACAGAATTTTAAGTATTTTTCTAATGAAGATACTGGAGAAATTTTAGAAACCGTATTTCTTTTATAACTTAGCTTTATTCCTTTAGTTTTGCGATGCATGTCATTGTATATTTTCCACAATCTGGTACTCGTCTTTGTGATAGTTAAACCAGAGACGCATACACTCCTCCAATAATACAAAATATCGCTTGGCACACAGTAGTATTGTTTCCTGATTCTTATATAAAACAAATAAACAACGAATTATTTTTATGCGATGTAAACGGCAAACCAAAAAAACATTAATTCAAGGAGCAAAGGCGATCATTTATTTCATAATATTGTTAAAGATTAACAAACACGTTTTGTAATATATAATATATCATATATATTACATGAAGTTTCTAACAGTGGAGGTATTGTGTATGTATTAGATACATTCTATGTAATACACTATATATTTTCTATCTTATCTTAAAGGACGATTCTTGCATGCGTACGGAATTATTGCATTATAGCTTCCAGGGATTTAACCCGGTGACATCAATATGTTATTTTGAATCACTATGTTCCAATCCTATGTAAATTGGTGCAGATAGCTTAAAAACGGCACACCGAGCTTTCCTCCTTATCATTGCTTACATCAAATGGAAGTGTCCATCATTTCTAGTTTTCCTACCTTAGACAGATGTGCATTCCTTAATGCAACAACAGTCTCTGTTTGTAAACATCATTCTTTCTGCAGACAAACTTGTCTGAACGTCGAACGTCTCCTCTGTGACTTTTTGATTCTAAGGTTTCGCACAATGTTGCTTTCACATATCAAAGTTTAGGTTCTGCAGGAATATTCCACGAGAAATAAATGCTCTTGGACCAGAACTGCGCCAATCTTAAAGACGGAGCTGAAAATGCACTGTATGGAAGTTTTGTCACAAATAAATAACAATATCAAGAGCAATATGTCCTTCTTTTACGCGTGTCCTAACTTCTCATCATGTTTTTTTTTAAAGTAAAAACGTGCATGTAATACGTAAGTTGTACATCGCTTATTGTTGGAAATCTTCATCGCTTGATAACGTTACCAATTCCTCAATTCGTCCTTCGATTATAATTAGTTTTGCAATATATTCCTTGATTATCATTGTGGATGATTAACTACCTGTTTTCCCACATATAAATGACAACTGGTTTTTTTTCTCTATTTATTCTTCAGTTTTCTTTGTTATCGGTTTATGTACCAGTTCATCTCATGAGACAAATGCACCAACATTACGCCTTATATATACCTATTTCTCGGTTGTTAATGTTCCCGGTTTCTCTACCTCTCCTTTGCTAATTAGTGTTTCCTGTTTATCACCTTTACCTTTATAGATCGGTTTCTATTCTTCGTTTGTTAGTATTACACGTTTCTGTTCTACGTTTACTTGTGTTAGATTTCTCTGGATAATCATCGCTTATTATCGTTACAGTCTTATCTGACAATATCCGTATATACCTATTTCTCGGTTATTTATCTTACCTGTTTCGCGCGTGTTCCTCAGATTGTGACGATTTGTGTTACCGAATGTGAATTGAAAACCTTCTAGAATACAGAGTATTATATTTTTCATCAAACAAAAGAAATAAGACTTGAGCTGAGCTATGTATAAAAAAAACATTGTATCGATTCCTGCCACAGTTTTCCAGCGTACTCAAAGAAAACCATGAAAAGATTATCTACCTTTTCCTGTTATCTGATATACGAAACAAAAATGTTAATAAAATGACATGGCAGATTTTTCTATATCTCCGTTTACTTTCTATTGTATTGTATTTTCCCATGAGCTGTCCTTTTGAATGGGTACAGATAACAAGGTCGATTCGCTTTTCTTTCAGTTTGGTTTGGATACAACACCTCCAAAGATGATACACTGGAGAAACTCAAAAATCGGGCTTAGTATCTTATCTGTTTATATTTATATTAATTCGATACGTTTATGTTTAATTTTACTTGCGTATGTCTTTTATATTAATTTGTCAAGCGCTTTAGAGCAGTTAGCTTCAGCAGAATAGAGCGCTTGATAAGTTATTAGTTATTATTGTGTGTTACTGTTGTATGTCCGATTTACAGTTATTACTATTTTAGGCGTGTCATGGTGTTTTGGTGCTGGAGGAAAACCGGAGTACCCGGGGATAAACCACCGAACTGCGGCCAGTACCAGGCGACTGTACCACGTAGGCCTCGAATCGTTGACCCAGTGATGGAGGGAGTTAATCGTAGACGGTCAGACGCCTTAACCAATTAGCCAGCGCGAGCATGACCGAAAAATTATCATCACTATTTTACATTACACAAGGACACTTATATTATATTAAACAACGCAACATTTGATACTGCAAACAAATACATACACATGTTCTATGTATGAGATAATCTCAAAGACGTTTAAATGTAGCGCATACGATTTCACAACATAACTTTCTCTTGACAATTGGGTCATTCCGATACGTTCGATTCATCGCAGAGTTCAGTGTTGATCCTCAAGGCATGAAGTAAAGCACCGTCTCTTACTTCCTCCAAGAGAATTAATAATATCATTTGTCACGTAAGAACATATCGCAAATCAGTATTGATGTACATGTATATAGTAGCATAGTTATTTCCCTGTCACAAGAAACAGCAACATTACTTTGCTACAGATTAATAAATGCAAATGTACCCTCGTGTATATAAAGAAATATGTTAAAATACGTAGCATATTTTGTCATATTCCAAGATATTTATTATATCTATACAGAAAACACTGACCTATCTTGTGGTGTTTTTTTTTACTAATTATAGTTATTCATGACGTTAATGTTATAGTGTTAGGTATATAAATGTTTCTGGCACGTTACAAAATAGTGCTGTCTGATAACATCATGTTAGAGGTTAGCAACAATAACAGTTTACCAATCCCTTTATTCTTCACATAACATTTGTCCGATTAGTATGCTACTTGGAATAATCCATATGTCAGTGTTGTGCGTGAACAGGTGCTCCTTCACTGATTTGTTCAGTCAGCCACCTTGTTAAATTTGTGGCTCTACTATCCAGAAATCTTTTCCCTCGAAGTCGGTCATGTTTGTACATCTTCTTACAGCGTCGTCAGAAACCTATATTAATGTAAACAAATAGATAGATATAAGTACCAGCAGAACTGAATATAGACGAACGTTTTCAATATTTCAACAGGCGATATATCTACACGTGTACCTGTTTGATTGGACGATAACCTGGGTGTTTTTGGTGCGGTCCTGGGTTGTTTGACTTCCGGTTGTAGGCTAGAATGAGCGCCCGTCTGATATCGGCACTAGTGTTGTCACTACTCGTATGGAGAACGTTACAGTGGAAGAATAGTGCATCACCTGGCGGTAAAATGTTATAAGTATATGCATGTTATTTGCCGTAGTGCAAAAAACAAACAACACACAACAATAAAAACATTCAGTCGAAGTTGTTCATACCGGTATTTATCTTATAAAATCAATTACAAAAACATGGTACTTCTTTAAATGAAGAACTGAACACACTGAAGTCAGGAATTCTATCTCAGTATACCTGCGTCGAGTTCGGCATGCACGCGCGGAAGTCTTCCTTGTAACTCCTTGACCCTATCCACGTCAGCCCCAGTCTGGTGAGCCACGATTGTATGGTCAATCCGGCCACATTTGTGAGATCCGCTCAGTAACTGCAAATCACAAAGTGATCATTAGGGTTCGTTCATTAAATGCTACCCACTGACTACATGTATATTGAAGTGGCTGAATTTCAGCCAAGGTCTACGAATCATACAAAAATAATACAAGTGATAACCGCGTTTCCTTCCAGGTTTTTCAATGAAATTTTCCGGCTGTTTCGAATCATAAACGCTTTATACAACATTCTTTAGTGATGCTGATCTAATTACCCGTTAAAAACTACTTTGTTGTGTATAACGTTAATTTGCCTCGAAGGTTTTCAATTGCATGCAGAAAGAAAAGGTATTATTATCGATTTTCAAATCTTCTGTTCATCGACGCAACCGCAATGTGAATGTGAATGTGAATGTGAAGTCAAATTCAAAATAATATTTAAGAATTCGAGGTCTTCAGATGATTATTATACAGCACACATAACACGTCAACAACGCAAACATTTCAAGAATAATGTCATTTAAATAATTTTGTGACCAGCGTTAAAATCATTACAATTTTATTAAATCAGTAACCGTACCTGAAGACATCCATTGGCTTTCTTACACTGATCGACTGCCACACTCACAAACATGTCCGGGAACACACAGCCATACTTGTACCAGTATCTGTTATAGAAAACTTCATATCCTGTCATTTACCTTCAGTATAACATAATGGTCACCTCTTTCTCAATACTAAAGTCTGGAACATTTACCTTCAGTAACAATTATGATAACCTAACAACCAATGTCTGCAAGATTTACCTACAGATTAACAGTCATTCTCACCTAACTAGCAAACTCTGTAAGATTTACCTACAGAATAAAAGTTATTCTCAGCTAACAATCCGACTCTAGAAGAGTTAACCGAACCTAATGATAATGGTCACCGCATCCCTAATACTAAAATATTTACCTTCACTATAACTATAATTGTCAGCTCACTATTAAACTTTACAAGTATCTACAGATGTGCAAGCATGGGCGTTTCACTTCCAAACTCATCGACAGTGATTTCTTACAGCTTCTATCATGTTGTGATTCCACAATACCAAAACAATTATAAACAGGTGCTTCTTTCCATTGCGGTGTGTTATACCCTAAAATATAAAACTGTCTGTGTTACCAGCCTGTCGTACCTTACGTAACGTACCATTAGTCCTGTCTCAGGTAACGTATCCATAGTCCTATGTCTAGTTACGTACTCAGGTAACGTACTCATGTAACGTACCCATAGTCCTGTGTATAGTAACGTACTCAGATAACGTACCCATAGTCCTGTGTCTAGAAACGTACTCAGGTAACGTACCCATAGTCCTGTGTCTAGTAACGTACTCAGATAAAGTACCCATTATCCTTTCTCTAGTAACGTATTCAGCTAACGTACCAATAGCCCTGGCTCTGGTAACATACCAATAGTCATGTCTCTAGTAATATACCAATAGTCCTGTCTCTAGTAACTTCCCAATAGACATGTCTCTAGTAACGTACCAATAGCACTGTCTCTAGTAACATACCAATAGGCCTGTCTCTAGTAACTTACCAATATCCCTGTCTCTAGAAACGTATTAAGCTACCGTATCAATAGCCCTGTCGTCTCCAGTAACGTACTCAGGTAACGTACCCATAGTCCTGTGTATAGAAACGTACTCAGATAACGTACCCATAGTCCTGCGTCTAGAAACGTACTCAGGTAACGTACCCATAGTCCTGTGTATAGAAACGTACTCAGATAACGTACCCAGAGTCCTGTGTCTAGAAACGTACTCAGGCAACGTGCCCATAGTCCTGTGTCTAGTAACGTACTCAGATAAACTACCCATTATCCTTTCTCTAGTAACGTCTTCAGCTAACGTACCAATAGCCCTGGCTCTGGTAACATACCAATAGTCATGTCTCTATTAACTTACCAATAGTCATATCTCTAGTAACTTACCAATAGTCATGTCGCTAGTAACTTACCAATAGCCCTGTCTCTAGTAACTTACCAATATCCCTGTCTCTAGAAACGTATTAAGCTAACGTATCAATAGCCCTGTCGTCTCCAGTAACGTACTCAGGTAACGTACCAATAGTCCTGCATTTAGTAACGTACCAATATCCCTGTCTCTATCAACTTACCAATAGCCCTGTCTCTATAAACTTACCAAAAATCATGTCTTTAGTAACATACCAATAGCCCTGTCTGTAGTAACATACCAATAGCCCTGTCTCTAGCAACATACCAATAGCCCTGTCTCTAGTAACATATCAATAGCCCTGTCTCTAGTAACTTACCAATATCCCTGTCTCTAGTAACATACCAATAGTCCTGTCTCTAGTAACTTACCAATAGTCATGTATCTAGTAACTTACCAATAGTCCTGTCTCTAGTAAATTACCAATAGCCCTGTCTCTAGTAACTTACCAATAGTCATGTATCTAGTAACTTACCAATAGTCCTGTCTTTAGTAACTTACCAATAGCCCTGTCTAGAGTAACTTACCAATAGCCTGTCTCTAGTAACTTACAAATAGTCATGTCTCTAGTAACTTACCAAAAGCCCTGTCCATAGTAACTTACCAATATCCCTGTTTCTAGTAACATACCAATAGTCATGTCTCTAGTAACTAACCAATAGCCCTTTCTATAGTAACTTAGCAATAGCCCTGTCTCTAGTAACGTACCAATATCCCTGTCTCTAGCAACTTACCAATAGTCATGTCTCTAGTAACTAACCAATAGCCCTTTCTATAGTAACTTACCAAGAGCCCTGTCTCTAGTAACGTACCAATACCCCTGTCTCTAGTAACGTACCAATATCCCTGTCTCTATCAACTTACCAATAGCCCTGTCTCTGTTAACTTACCAAAAATCATGTCTTTAGTAACATACCAATAGCCCTGTCTCTAGTAACGTACCAATAACCCTGTCTCTAGCAACTTACCAATAGTCATGTCTCTAGTAACTAACCAATAGCCCTTTCTATAGTAACTTAGCAATAGCCCTGTCTCTAGTAACGTATTAAGCTAACGTACCAATAGTCCTGCATTTAGTAACAAACCAATATCCCCGTCTCTATCAACTTACCAATAGCCCTGTCTCTGTTAACTTACCAAAAATCATGTCTTTAGAAACATACCAATAGCCCTGTCTCTAGTATCTTACCAATAGCCCTGTCTTGAGTAACTCACCAATAGCCTGTCTCTAGTAACTTACAAATAGTCATGTCTCTAGTAACTTACCAAAAGCCCTGTCCATAGTAACTTACCAATATCCCTGTCTCTAGAAACGTATTAAGCTAACGTATCAATAGCCCTGTCGTCTCCGGTAACGTCCTTAGGTAACGTACCAATACCCCGGTCTCTAGTAACGTACCAATAGTCCTGCATTTAGTAACGTACCAATATCCCTGTCTCTAGCAACTTACCAATAGTCATGTCTCTAGTAACTAACCAATAGCCCTTTCTATAGTAACTTAGCAATAGCCCTGTCTCTAGTAACGTACCAATATCCCTGTCTCTATCAACTTACCAATAGCCCTGTCTCTATAAACTTACCAAAAATCATGTCTTTAGTAACATACGAATAGCCCTGTCTCTAGTAACTTACCAATGGTCATGTCTATAGTAACTCACCAATAGTCCTGTCTCTAGTAACATACCAATAGCCCTGTCTCAAGTAACTTACCAATAGTCCTGTCTTTAGTAACTTACCAATAGCCCTGTCGCTAGTAACGTACCAATAACCCTGTCTCTAGTAACTTACCAATATCCCTGTTTCTAGTAACATACCAATAGTCATGTCTCTAGTAACTTACCAATATCCCTGTTTCTAGTAACATACCAATAGTCATGTCTCTAGTAACTAACCAATAGCCCTTTCTATAGTAACTTAGCAATAGCCCTGTCTCTAGTAACGTACCAATATCCCTGTCTCTAGCAACTTACCAATAGTCATGTCTCTAGTAACTTACCAATAGTCCTGTCTCTAGTATCTTACCAATAGCCCTGTCTAGAGTAACTTACCAATAGCCTGTCTCTAGTAACTTACCAATTGTCATGTCTCTAGTAACTTACCAATATCCCTGTCTCTAGTAACATACCAATAGCCCTGTCTCTAGTAACATACCAATAGCCCTGTCTATAGTAACTTACCAATATCCCTGTTTCTAGTAACATACCAATAGTCATGTCTCTAGTAACTAACCAATAGCCCTTTCTATAGTAACTTAGCAATAGCCCTGTCTCTAGTAACGTATTAAGCTAACGTACCAATAGTCCTGCATTTAGTAACAAACCAATATCCCCGTCTCTATCAACTTACCAATAGCCCTGTCTCTGTTAACTTACCAAAAATCATGTCTTTAGAAACATACCAATAGCCCTGTCTCTAGTATCTTACCAATAGCCCTGTCTTGAGTAACTCACCAATAGCCTGTCTCTAGTAACTTACCAATTGTCATGTCTCTAGTAACTTACCAATAGCCCTGTCTCTAGTAACTTACCAATAGCCCTGTCTCTATTAACGTATTAAGCCAACGTACCAATAACCCTGTCGTCTCCAGTAACGTAATCAGGTAACGTACCAATAGCCCTGTCTCTAGTAACGTACCCATAATCCTGGTGCCATTCAAATGTGCCTCCAATGTAGGGTTCCTTGGTTACAAGTTTGGTATGGTAATGGTAAACCTCACCTCCAAGAAGCTGTGAACAGACACCAAACGTCAGTAAGTATAAGTATATACTGAACACTCATCTGGCTAATGCTAATGCTTAACCCTAACCCTGCTCAACATGTAGATTACACTATTAGGCATTACTTAACACATAATTCGCACTGGTGTTATCTGATTTCTTCTCATCAAAATGCCTCTGATATATATTATATGTTGAACAATATTTGAAATCAGTTTTTTTCATAATCTAAACAAACATTATTTGGATCGTTAAAATAATTTGAAACTTTGTTCATATATTGTATTAATATTATGTATATGTGATATCATATATATGGAAATCAAACGCCTATAGTTATTTTAACGATAAATTACAGAATCGATTAAACGATTTATAAATATATATAAAAATGTTTTCTTTTTTCAAAATACTGCTGTTGATATATATAGTTTTACTAAGATCTCGGGATTTCTTCATAAGGTCCCATTTGAGAAATTTTGCAGCAAATGTTAAACCATAATTGATATCCTTTTTATAATTTCCAGAAGGTTGTAAATAACCTAGACAAATTGATCTTGTTTAACAGAAATAAATTTTTAGACGATATATAATACGGAATTTGAAATATGTTCCATTGAATACATGTTTATATACCTTATCACATGTACCTGCCACCTTATGGCAGCGAGCCACCATTCCTGTGACGTCTTCACCTGGATGTTGCCACAGTATGAGCTTTGGTTCCTTGCCGCTTTTGTCGGGTCTCTGCATGGTGAAATTATTTAGAAATGACGCACAGGACAATTTTTTTACAAAATGAAAGGAGAACAAGTTGTAAAGTATCTTATGTCAACTGAGAAATGAGGCGAGTAACCTGAACTATGATCTGTTCAAAGATCAATTGAAAGAGTCTCCATCTTGTCTGTGTGGTGATGCTTATGAAACTGCTACCCATTATCTGTTACCATGTCCAATGTATACTGATGAGAGACAAACTTTAATAAATGAGATTTTTGAAGTGTGTCCGGTTAATCTTGATAGTAAACCACTTCTTAATGGAAGCACTATGTTAAACAATACTGAAAATAAATCTATACTTGGTAGTGTTCTTAAATATATATACAACACAAGAAGACTTGTTTAATTAATCAAAACAATCTATAAATTTTGTTATATATAGTCATAATTGATAAAGTATTGTCCCTAAACCATTATGTGATTCTACTGCTTGTTATATCTACATTGATGTTTATACTATACACCTAAAGGATTCAGCTTTGGGTGCTGTTTTTACTGATGGGTGCAATCAAGTAAAACATAATTGTGCTAAGTTTTGCTTAGTGTTCTGTGGTCGAATCTGGATTCTTCTCGAGTTGATGATTTGTGAACGTTAGAGGCCGTTAGTGACATTTTGTCTGAAACTCGATGGGATGAAAGATTTACACATAGAACACTGGCAATACATCTTACACATACACTACAATTTCAAAATCTTCTAGCTGAATTGCCTCATTTTATTTTTTATATTTTGATGTTGTTGTATCCCTTACTTTTTATCACTCCTACCATTGATATATATTGATACTAAATGGTTCTATACTTTTAACTACTTCATGCAACAGCAGCAGAGTATGAACAGGGGGCATTAATGACTTGCAAAATAATTTACAATTGTAGCAATTTCTCTGTTTAACATATCATTAGGGCATTGCTTTCCTTTTACTAATTCATTATGATTGACTTTTTAATAAGAGCATTGTATAGCTAAAAATATCAGTTAAATATTTATATGTAATTGAAACATACATGGAATTATCTCCCCTATACCATCTGCTATATACAGACTGGGGATATATGCTACTTATTATATATAATTTGCATCAATATTTTCTTACAAACCATTTCATTCATCTTTGTCTTTGTCATGTCAACCTAAGGAGAGAACTTATATAGGCCTAGCCTGCTGTTCAATCCTATTGTTTACTCAATAAAATGTGATGAAATGAAATGAAAGTATTACTGAGAACAATATGAAGGCAATGAGAACGAGGACTTAGTGAAAGCAATCATGATAATAACAAATAAGTAATGGTACAGATAAGTAAGTAGTTAAATCTGCGAGTAAGCTAGTACCAAGATCAAGTTAGCAATGTAACCAGTAAGCCATTTTAGAATGATATTAATAAAGTTCAAAACAACTCAAGCATAGATAAGTCGACCATCTCTTGTATAAAACTGGGTTTGTAGGATGTATACTCACTCCGTACTGGAACTTAAGTACTTCAGGACTTTCAATGACCTCTTTGACCTTAGTCAGCTCCTCTTTGTCCAGTAACCCCCTAAACATCAATCAAATTAGATTATTTAAAACATGCTCGTGTTGCTGCCAAGAAATATTTATGACAAGACGTATCAGGATAGCATAGATTGAAAGTCGATTGAAGAACATGTATCTTAGCCCATATTTACTAGATACAAAAGTATTGACAAACAGCACTGTTACTCGCCTGATAAGTATGTAACCTTTGTCCCAGAACGTTTGCAGGACGTCATCTGTCACTTCAAAGGAACCGTCGTCACCCAGTTGGAATTCTGCAATAAGACAAGAAAACTAGCATGGTGATACTGAGCCTTTCTCATCGATTTGTTTAATTTTGCTTTTGATAATTCTATTAGCAATGTTTACCTTGTTCTACCTACTGCTGGTCAAGCTACTCTTTGTACGACATGAGACGACATGGACAAATAATCCACATTATCAATAATGTCAACAGATATTCATTCTTCAGTTGTAAGTTAACATTGTAAAGACTATAATTAGGGGCAATCAACAAATGCCATCCTCCGTAGAGGTCCGAGTTACTATTTAAGTATGCGATAAAAGAGGAACAAGTTACTCTCCATACAGGTTAAAATCACCATTCAGATCAATAATTAACAACTTCTTTCTTTGATGCCATGATAACTCATATCACATAATCACGGATTGTTCAATATATTTCCCATGTTTGGACAGTGGTTTAATACAGGTTTTGCCAACTGTCATCCTTGTCGTATTCTTTTGAAGACTGCTTTTCATGGGTAATTAAAGTTGTTATCACAATTTAACGGCTGCTCCAGATCAGTACTGAGTATCACGAGTTCCTAAACAGGTTTGCCCTTTTGACAAATCAACTACACAACCAAACTTTCTTCCGGAGAGGTAGAGGGAGAGGCTGCGGTGGTCAACATTAGATTGATAATATTCTTTGGTGTTTATTAGCAAACGTTTGTCCATTGTGGCATATCTTGTTGATGATATAATTCCTTTTCTAAATTTTACAGGAGATATCATGACCGGTTAATTGAACATGAGATATCATGACCAGTTAGTTTTACAGGAGATATCATGACCAGTTAATTGAACAGAAGATAGCATGACCAGTTAATAGTACAGGAGATATCATGACCAGTTAATTTTACAGGACATATCATGACCAGTTAATTGTACAGAGGATAGCATGACCAGTTAATTGTACAGGAAATATCATGACCAGTTAATTGTACAGAAGAAAGCATGACCAGTTAATTGTACAGGAGATAGCATGACCAGTTAATTGTACAGGAGATATCATGACCAGTTGAGTGTACAGGAGATAGCATGACCAGTTAATTGTACAGAAGATAGCATGACCAGTTAATTGTACAGAAGATAGCATGACCAGTTAATTGTACAGGAGATGTCATGACCAGTTAATTATACAGGAGATATAATGACCAGTTAATTGTACAGGAGATAGCATGACCAGTTAATTGTAAAGAAGATAGCATGACCAGTTAATTGTATAGGAGATATCATGACCAGTTAATTGTACAGGAAATATCATGACCAGTTAATTGTACAGGAGATATCATAACCAGTTAATTGTACAGGAGATATCATGACCGGTTGAATGTACAGGAGATAGCATGATCAGTTAATTGTACAGAAGATAGCATGACCAGTTAATTTTACAGGAGATATCATGACCAGTTAATTGTACAGGAGATATAATGACCAGTTAATTGTACAGGAGATAGCATGACCAGTTAATTGTACAGGAGATATCATGACCAGTTAATTGTACAGGAGATATCGTGACCAGTTAATTGTACAGGAGATATCATAACCAGTTAATTGTACAGGAGATATCATAACCAGTTAATTGTACAGGAGATATCATGACCAGTTGATTGTACAGGAAATAGCATGACCAGTTAATTGTACAGGAGATATCGTGACCAGTTAATTGTACAGGAGATATCATAACCAGTTACTTGTACAGGAGATAACATGACCAGTTAATTGTACAGGAGATATCATGACCAGTTAATTGTATAGGAGATATCGTGACCAGTTAATTTTACAGGAGATATGATGACCAGTTAATTTTACAGGAGATATCATGACCAGTTTATTTTACAGGAGATATCGTGACCAGTTAATTGTACAGGAGATATCATAACCAGTTAATTGTACAGGAGATATCATGACCAGTTGATTGTACAGGAAATAGCATGACCAGTTAATTGTACAGGAGATATCGTGACCAGTTAATTGTACAGGAGATATCATGACCAGTTGATTGTACAGGAAATAGCATGACCAGTTAATTTTACAGGAGATATCATGACCAGTTAGTTTTACAGGAGATAGCATGTATAGTAAACTGTACAGGATATATCATGACTAGTGAATTGTACAGGAGATAGCATGACCAGTAAATTGTACAGGAGATATCATGACCAGTTAATTGTACAGGAGATAGCATGACCAGTTAATTGTATAGGAGATATCATGACCAGTTAATTTTACAGAAGATATGATGACCAGTTAATTTTACAGGAGATATCGTGACCAGTTAATTGTACAGGAGATATCATGACCAGTTAATTGTACAGGAGATATGAACAGTTAATTTTACAAGAGATATCATGACCAGTTAATTTTACAGGAGATAGCATGTATAGTAAACTGTACAGGATATTTCATGACTAGTTAATTGTACAGGAGATAGCATGACCAGTAAATTGTATAGGAGATATCATGACCAGTTAATTGTACAGGAGATAGCATGACCAGTTAATTGTACAGGAGATATCATGACCAGTTAATTTTACAGAAGATATGATGACCAGTTAATTTTACAGGAGATATCATGACCAGTTTATTTTACAGGAGATAGCATGACCAGTTAATTGTACAGGAGATATAATGACCAGTTATTTTCACAGGAGATATCATGACCAGTTAATTGTACAGGAGATATCATGACCAGTTAATTGACAGGAGATATCATGACCAGTTAATTATACAGGAGATATCATAACCAGTTAATTGTACAGGAGATATCGTGACCAGTTAATTTTACAGGAGATATGATGACCAGTTAATTGTACAGGAAATATCGTGACCAGTTAATTGTACAGGCGATATCATGACCAGTTAATTGTACAGGAGATATCGTGACCAGTTAATTGTACAGGCGATATCATGACCAGTTAATTTTACAGGACATATCATGACCAGTTAATTGTACAGGAAATATCATGACCAGTTAATTGTACAGGAGATATCATGACCAGTATCATGACCAGTTAATTGTACAGGAGATATCATGACCAGTATCATGACCAGTTAATTGTACAGGAGATAGCATGTATAGTAAACTGTACAGGATATATCATGACTAGTTAATTGTACAGGAGATAGCATGAATTGTACAGGAGATATCATGACCAGTTAATTGTACAGGAGATATCATAACCAGTTAATTTTACAGGAGATATCATAACCAGTTAATTGTACAGGAGATATCATGACCAGTTAATTTCACAGGAGATATCCTGACCAGTTTTGTTTATTAAGTGTGCTCTTGGTGTATTTGTTTTTCATGTCTTTTAATGATAGTCCGCTGTTGTCCTTGATAATTGAGTCTGTATGTTTACAGGTGTTTTATTATTGAATCATACCGGGAGTAACTTTATCAAAAGTTGGCTAATCATATACATTGTATAAAGTTACAATCTTCAGAACACTGACGACAGAATAGACTGGAACAAAATGACAATTATGACCGGAACAGGAAATAGAAGATTACATGCGCAGTGAACATAATGATAAAGATGATACGGAACAGGTTTTAATATATAACGATTGGTGTACATACCGCATGCTTTATCCATTACGTCGGCCACGTACGGTTGCAAATGAATGGCTTTGTTATGAAATAGAAGAAACAGTCATGCAAACATGTGTAAACATTATATTAATTCCTCTTTATTCATACGCGTATAAATTAGTATCGGTTACACGTTGTACTCACCCTGTAGGATGTGTGTGTCCTTGGCCTGGATTCAGGTAGAGATAGGTACATCTGATATAGATATGGTCATCTTGTTGTACCGCACTCATACATGACTTATCATATGATTAGGAAGTTAACTACAGTCACGACTAGTTATGTTAAAGGTTTTAACATGCTAATCTCATCTAACACAGTCGGAGTATGTGTGTACGAAAAGCAGTACGTTCAACTTTGAACAGCGTTTTATCTGCCCTGTATCTGTCTGTCCCTGTTTGACCCGAAATGACCTTCTGCGTTAAAGGGGCATTACTATATTATATAAACATCTTCATTAAGTCTATAAGTATGCAATGTATATGCATTCATAGTTATTGTTGAAATCACAAATTCACCCTGAATCCTTGACCATTTCACAGATATTTTAATCTCATTTAGTCTCATAAAAAATAACGATTTTATAAAATTCAGTATTTAGATAAAATATGTGTATGAATCGTGTATGGTTGGTATCCAAGGTTTCAATCTTGCATCGTAACGCTGATAACGTCAACACGTTGGTCATGCCATAATAGCTGTTACGAATGTCAGTTGAAAGTCGCATGGTTTATACTGGCATTGCCCACGGTGGTAAATATTATGACATCAGTGACATTGTTCAATTGACACAAGAGGTGCAATGTAGCATCACTCTCATCACTCGACATCATTGACGGAAATTTAGGTGTAAAACTGTACCAATGATAGTATTCTGTATTATTGACGTGGATTGGAGATGATTAACTAGTATGTACCATACAGCTGGCAACATCGACATGAAATTAAGATAGAAATAAAGATTATATATTAACTAGATCATTATATCTAAAATAATAATTTAAGAATTTAGTTTATTTTAGTAATGTGTCTGTAACTTTCCATTAAGATAGACATCATATAAAACATTTGTTGAGGGGTTTATCATTGGTTTATCATTGGTTTATCATTGACGCGGAGTAATATAAGCGCATTTTTCTTTTATTCAAATAGTATTAGTATTTTGGTTTTTTCTACCTAATGTGAGCTGTTGGAAAACTTCTGTAAACCAAAATGATCCAACATTCTGTGAACCAAAATGATCCAAAATTTCATGTTGTTATATTATCTAATCTAGAGAGTTTATACAGATGTATTCAGGTTTATATGACTTACTAGGTTTATATGTACTAGTAACATTTCCAATGTTCAATGAAATAAATATGTAAATTGTGAAAGTCTATGTGCAAAGTGGATGTATTATGATCAGGGACGTAACCAGGACTATGAGTATGTGGAAGCATACGAAGCGCGGAGTAGGGGGTGGGTTCGAATGGGGGGTAACCCCCTCCTGAGTTTGGGGGTTCCGGGGGGGGGGGGTTACCCCCACCCCCCGAGATTTTTTTTGAATCTGGAACCCATTCTGGTGCAGTTTGAGACATAAAATACCTATCATTTTCATATTTGGCTTGTAGTACTTTTTATCAAATGCGTAATAATTAGTTCCACATGAACAAGGAACATTTTCGTTAAATAGTCAATAAAAGAAACAATATCAATGAGATAATGAATTCACTGAGGGCCCAGGATTATATGAGTTGTTAAAGTTTATCACATGAAGTTCTACAATGTGATCCTTGTTAAAAGTATACTTAAAAAAATTATGTGGAAGCCCGTGCGTCCGTGCGTACGCCTGGTTACGTCCCTGATGATTTTGAAATTAAGTCATAGAATTCAAATATCTAACCTTCGTATAGCAAAGCCAATTATGTTATACGAGTTATGTCCCTTATTATTATTTTAACGATACAAGATCGGGGTGAATATGTGATGTATTTGTAATTACAAGGATTTTGATACAAAAAAAAAAAGAATCAAACGAGCTGAAAGTAATGGTATTGTAAATATATATATTTCTGTAAAGCTGGCGTTGTATTACTTTTGTAAATGATCTGTGCCATATCACAGTGGACAATCAGTATTAAAATCAGCTCTTTATTATGACAATTTATTTTTAACATACGTCAAAGTATTCACCGTGAACTTTAAAGCGGTTTCCTTCTTAATCCCCGTGAACAGTATTTGTTGCGCTCTGGTTTCGAATGACTTCAGCTTTCCACTGCTCCTGAATGGACGACTTTGAGCTTTTTGAACTACGCGGTGTTCGTTGTCCTACATTCAGTAAAGTCGGTGATTATTCTACCTTCTGATGCAGTGCTGATGTTAGGCCATCTGCTTTAATTTTCACATCCAACCTTTAGGTGCATGCTGACTGTTTTAGAGCTTTACACTTTTGTGTTATTTTACCGTTTGGTTGTCGTTGACAACTTGGTTCAGAGTTAGTGATTTTTGTAACAATTGAATTCATTTATAATGTATGTAATAAATAGGCAACAAACAATGGATTGGTTGAGACAGTATTATTTGGAAATTAGTAAATTTTCTTTGCTTTAACTGTAAAATGATACATCTAAAAATTACATTTAACTTGTCTTGTGCAATTAACGGGAATGATATCCTCATCAGTATCACAGAAGTAGATGTTCATTGGATGATTTCTAACATATTAATTTGTTTATTTCAGTATCGTCCTTACCCTTGCATTGTTCGATTTCTACATTCTCCAAAGCTAATACTATGAAATAAAAATAATCCCAAAAGTAAAACGGTTGTCTTTTCTTTCACCAGTGCAATATGCATAGTCGTTTCCATTTCTAACATTATTTAATATGTTAACTGTCTAGTTTCAATTTTACAATAGATCCTCAGAAGTGAAAGCTCACGAAACAATCAAATTCATCCATGTGTGGCTCACCATGTTGAAACGTCTTCATCTGGAAGGTCGTGGCGTTCTGTGCGGTATAATACGTGGCGTTCTGTGCGGTATAATACGTGGCGTTCTGTGCGGTATAATACGTGGCGTTTCGGCTTCCCAAACATTTTGCATTTCATACAAGTGACACTGACTGCAGTATGCAGTAACTCTGCCCAATTATTTCACACCTACATGTGTTGCTGGTGTTGGTGTGCAGACAGAGTCTTCCCATCTTGTGTTACATGTATTGAAGCGTCGGTAGCATACATCTTTCCACTGTTTTTATTTCCTTTATTGATCTATTGAATTCACAATATTTGGATCTTTCACAATGAGTGGCATTCGGATACAGGAAAGCCGAAAGGATATGCGTTAACATATAATAGTGATATAGAGGTGGATTGACACAAAACATTGACGAATTTCTTTGACCACACTATCGCTAACAATTATCCAGTTACATATCTAAGTAATACGAATCCAGTGCCTATATTGCGTCATGCTGTTTTTATTACGTATTGGGCGGTGTGTTAAAGTGGATGTAAGTGACGGCGTGTTAAGGTGGATATAAGTGACGGCGTGTTTAAGTGGATGTAAGGGGTGGAGTGTTTATGTGGATGTATAGGGCAGCGTGTTTAAGTTGATGTGTTGGGCAGCGTGTTTAAGTAGATGTGTGGGGCAGCGTGTTTAAGTGGATGTCAGGGGCGGCGTGTTTATGGGGATGTGTGAATGGTGTGTTTAAGTGGATGTAAGAGGTGGATTTTATTTGTTGGATGTGTGGCGTGGTGTGTTTAAGTGGGTGTGTGGAGCGGCGAGTTCATATGGATGTGTGGGGCGGCGCGTTCAAGTTAAGATGTGGGGCGGCGTGTTAAGGTGGATGTGAGCGGCGGCGTGTTTAAGTGGATGTTAGGGGCGGCGTGTTTAGGTGGATGTGTGGGGTGGAGTGTTTAATTGGATGTGAGAGGCGGCGTGTTTAGGTGGATGTGTGGGGCCGCGTGTTTAAGTGAATATGCAGGGTGGCGTATTTAGGTGGATGCGTTGGGTGGTGTGTTTAGGTGGATGTAAAGACGGCGTGTTTAGGTGGATGTGTTGGGCGGTGTGTTTAGGTGGATGTAAGGGGCGGCGTGTTTAGGTGCATGTGTTGGGTGGTGTGTTTAGGTGGATGTGAGAGGCAGCGTGATTAGTTTGATGTAAGGGGCGGCGTGTTTAGGTGGTTGTAAATAAAAGTGATTCATTTAAGGATTGACCTTCAATTTGACGGCGTTTATGGTAGTATGAACGCAGTTGGTAACGAACATATTATTTGGTGCGCGTTACCAAGGTCAATCCTAATATAAACATCATAAAAATGTTTAAATGCTTTACAAAGAAGAAACGGTCGAAGCGGGTACTACGATGATAAATAAACAAATGTAGTAGCCAGGATATTATAGTCCCAGTAGATGTACATCGTTATATTGGTAAATACGCAATGAACAACATTTTCATCGCTTTAATTTTTTTAATTATGTAATATTAGTAGCAATTCGAACATTTGGATTCATTTATAACGATCGTTATGGACATGCAGTGAGTGACGCGGTCGAACGTTGGAAAAAGAAGCCGCCATTGTTTACTTTACCGTCAAAGATTTTTTAATGTGCTTCCATTAAATAAGAATTTTGCCGTTGTGTAATCAGACAAAATGGATCCAGAATATGTTCCATATTTGTATATGTTGAAGGAACTAATCAATGGCTGTCATAGAACATTTTCCCACTGAAGCGTGAACGGCGCCATATCTGAGACAGGTATCAATATACGCTAATTTATACGCAGTCAGAGTTTGCTAAGCTGAAGAAGGGAGAGAAGTAAATTTTAAACAATCAGAGCATGGACAGGTTTGCGTTCGGTTATACCGCCTTGTCAGACGTCTATTGTAGTTATAAACCATTGTAAGTTAAAAATATATCCAAATACAGAAACAGAACACTTAATGCTGAGTTTTATGTCTTTCTGTATGGTTTATTTATTTATTAACCTTTTTAAGCTATTAAATTTTCTAACGCAAGAATCATCATCAGAACAGTTCTAAGCAGTGTACGGAGATAAATGTGGTAGCACAGCGTTCTTTACAATAGAAACTTAAATATATAAAAGTTTCAAAGGCATATGTACAGGTACAAGCATATGTAAAAGCATTTGTACCTACTTTTATCAATGTACATTTTTGGGGGGTTTGGTACATGTATACATTATCAAAGACATAATATAAGCCATGCATTCTAAGCTCTTTTATTTCAAAAGGTAATGATAAAACAATTTATAACCCCACTTACTTTTTTTCTTTTCAATTGAAATCAGATGTGAATACATATTTTTTATCCCGTATACTAATCCAGTTAATGACTAATTCCGCCAATTTTGTGTCACGTTAGATTTACCTCCCCTTGACAAATAATATCATCCTCGAGCGTTGCCCTCGGTTCATATAGTATCTGTCTCACGTAAACAAACCCTCGTGTCACAACAATACGGGGTAATTCATTATGAAATATAAAACGACGAAATAAAGTATTTTTCTACATCTGATTACCTTTAATTTGGCCGTAAAATGACATATCATTATTCATTGTGTGCATGTATCTCGAAAAGCCCAGAATTCTACCAGCCGCATATATAGGGAACGTCTAAACACTTAATTAATTTCACTGTATACTTTTGGCATGACGTATAGGTCAACACGAGAAGATACAATGTTTAAGAACAATGCTTCAGCCCTCAGTCATTAACATGATGGTAGACACCCACACGTGTTGGCTGATGAGGGAACTCTTGCAATTGGTGAGTTTCTGGTGTGCTACCATAGTTACCGTTTGGCGGATACACGCATTGATTTCTAGTCCCTTCAATCTGTTGAGCGTGTGTGGTAGACCACAGATAGAGGACTACATCCCTGACCAGGTGTTCAGACGACGCCTCGCCGATCGCCTTCAATATACATACGCCGTCCTCCGTTATCTCTGAACCTGCAAACCGGGCAATGTCGTTGTCGGAAGGAGAAGGTGCCACTTCACCGGACAGGTACAGATAACTCTTGACAAACCTGAATAGAAAACGTTACTGGGTTCAGGAATATATCAACATCATATCTGATGATTTCAATCAAACATGTATCTTTCTGTAATATTTGACATGATTATTGCTTATTTAAAAGCATCTCATTCCTCGATTTAACTCTGCAAACTTAATTACACATAATTAAACACTGCTGGAGAGTTTTATTTAATCTAATATAATGGTCATTATAATTGCAGGAAAATCAACATACCCAATACAGCAATGGTCTTGCTTACTATTTTCCTAACGTGGCTATATATCTTTGCTCTTTTAGCGTATAGCAATTTTTTGACCTCCCTGATTCTCTGACCTCATCACCAATCAACCAAACACTGTCCTATAATAACCGTATTGTGCCGATGTGAAACCATAGGCTAACACGCAATACATATACTATTACATATACACATTCTCTCTGATTATCTTATGTTTTAAGACATATCCTAATTACTGTTGGGGATAATGTTATCGGGATAAACAGAAAAAATATCCTTACGGACGAAGAATCTCAACAACGGGTCCTTAGTATTTTCATCTCTAGGAGATTCTTCAGACTCTTAAAAGCTTCAAAGCTTTGTGAACAGTGTACATATCATACTAGTCATCGAAACGTCACCTATATTGTTGATTTTCCTGCAATTTCAATGACCATTATATTAGACTAAATAAAACTCTCCAGCAGTGTTTAATCATGTATAATTAAGTTTAATTGAAATCATCAGATATAAATATATATTAATGCTTATTGCATATTTAAGCAAAAGAAAATATATTTCTAAACATTTTCGCAAATATGTTTTTAAACATTTTCTTCAGGTTGGTAAGTATGGTGATGAGAAGTTCTTTTTACACAACCAATACGATTGGGTATGTGACGTTTCGATGACTAGTACGGTATGTACACTGTCACCTTCATCAGACAAATGACCAGTGAAGCGTATGCAAAAGGTGTAAATTATGAACGAATTGGTCACCAAATCCAGTCGATTCGGCTACGCTGTAAGCGTATGTACAATAGTTGTTATATATGTACCGAAATGACTCGATTCGGCAACGCTTTGGTTGACAACTCGTACACATTTTACATCTTTGTGCGCGTACGCTTCACTGGTCATTTGTCTGATGAATGTGACAGTGTACATATCGTACTGGTCATCGAAACGTCACATAGAACATCTTATCGGTTGTGTAAAAAGAACTTCTCATAAAGCAAATATTTTAGCATTGAACTGTTTTTGTATGATATCTATGATCTATTTGAATGACACAGCTTTGGAAGCAAACAACATAATGCGCGCTATAATACCATACAAAAACAGTTCAATACTTATATTTACGTTTTCTCCGCCTCTTATGTTCTTTTTTAACTTATAATTTATATTTAAAATTAAAAATGCCCGCCTTATCGACAGTCCACACAATTTCGTTCAATAGTTTGAACAGCGTATTGTCGCGTTCTGATTGGCAAACAAAGTAGTATTTTGAATTTTAAACAAAAACATCAATTTTATTCCACAATTCAGTATCAATACAATTGCGTATGATATGTCTATAGGGTGATTTAAGTTTATCAATAGAACCATGAGCTGAAAGTAATATTTGATTTTTTTTCAATTTTTCCCCGGAACAAATTTCGCGCATGGACAAATACAGTGAACACCGTAAATCCGACCTTGCCCTCCAAGAGGGAGTTATTTTTGGAAGTTAATTCGAACTTTTCTCTTTGATCATTTTTTGAAGAATCCATGCGTGAATGTATTTGTTGGTTGTATGGGAACCTTACAACAGTCTGAAGATTCTATAACATCCTCGTTATTTGACATGTCGTCAGAAACTCAGGAATGGTGGATGCGAGACGCGTGAAAGATAGCGTTTGAAGTGAGTGATCTTGCGACGGATCACAGGTTCGTTACAAAAGTCTGAAATGTTCATGTGTGCTGTGACTCATATCAGTAGGTCTGTAACACATGTGTCAGTAGGTCTATATAATATGTGTATTTCAGACATTTGTAACGAACCCTGTTGATCAGTGCAGTGTAACAGACGATATTTCTGATAAATTGCATGAGCGTTAAAATTGTTTCCATTGCCGGCATTGGTGATTTCAACCGATGTGCATTTTGTACGATATTGCAGACATTGGTCTTGTTTTCGTTGTAATAAAAGTGTTTTTTAATTATTTTGCACATAAATTTACAATGGCATTGTCAAATCTCACAATGCCCAGCGATATTTCAGCAGCCGTCATGTTTATTTATATTGGATTTTGTAGTTCCGATCAGTGTTGTAATACGCTAAGATTTGTGTCTCGTGATGCATGGTAATTAAAGTCCCGTCAACGACACAGCTTTCAAAGAGGCTATATAGTGACAATGCCATGCAAATTTAAATATATTGCTACCAACACCAACTAAAAAATGCAATGGACAGAAAATCTACTCTCACCTTCTGCGAAAGATTGGCACTAGAACGATAAGAATCTGGCCCACGCCACTTAAGACCGTGATGACACACACGATCGCCATCCACATCCACAAGAACCCAAACATTATCTCGTAGTACGTGACGTTGTTGAACGAACACTGAACAGTGTAACTGTGGGTGAAGCTCAATCGCGTAATGGAAAAGTCGCATAAGACTATTTTCGGGAGTTTAGGGTCTATGGTTCGCCAAGTCAAAGTTTCATTGCTCGAAATATCTTCGGCCAATTGCTGTCCAAATGAAGTCTGGTTTTCTGCCTTCAGAACTACATTCATGATAGATAATTGTGTGATGACGTTGATGAAGTAAAGAAGCTTTGTGAACAGAAACAGCAGAGTAAGCCATCCCCACGGACATCCCTTCAACACAGTGGAATCAATCCAGCTCTTCACGTACCGTCCTACTTGTCTCCCCATTTGTGCTCGGTCAGCCATGTTAAGGGTCTCGTAACCGTCTGTAAGTCCCAAAATCTTCGTAAATCGGAACCCCACAAGGCCCTGTCCTACTGACAGGACAATGTCAGGAAGCTTGAACAACAATGCCTGTACGAGGAGAATGAGCGGTATCCAGCGATACGGCGGTTTCGTCATTGGTGAATGATTGCTAGCCAATGGTTCATTGTTGTTATTTACGTCTTCAATCCTCACATAGTATGTTGAGCTTTCCCAGCAGATCTTATCAGCATACTTTACCATCTGTGGTTGGAACTCGGAGGGTGTCCAACAAGTAATGGGGTCGTACGCCGTATGGAGGCAACCCGTCAGGATAGAAAACAGAACAAGGATCCCAACAGTCCACGTACTGTTGAGTCGCCCACACTGGTCATTCAGGCGGAGACTGGACTGGGTCAAATGGCGAAGAATTGGCCGCAAAACCATGGTGTTGCTTACCTATTTAAGAGTAATAGTGTATTTCTAGTTAAAATCATACACTTTAAAAGGATTTCTTGAAGTGCTTTTAAGTTATGTCGCACATCGAATATGTGACAATCTATAGCGTATTACATTTCTGTAAGCAAAGGTAACAATGCATATTATCTTACATTTTAGTTATATGTTTAGAACACATAATTTTGGCAGGTTTTAATTGTAAATATGATAACGGTCACCTTCTAGCTTCGAGCTAGAGGGAATTCCCTTTAGCTCAGTGGTAGAGTGTCCGACTAGGAATCTGGAGAGCGAGGGTTCGATCCCCGGTGGAAGCACTCTATCAATGGCATTCTGCAACAGTTTCGAATGTGATGGTAACCCACAGAGATAAGCCAACAAAAATACTGTTCTAACATGATAAGGTAGAAGGAACTATCCGATCAGTATTCATTTCTGTACTTATTTTCGCACTATTTAACATTTGCGAACTAATAAAACTTAATATGTTTTTTATTGCAAAATGAAAAACAAGTCCTTTCGACCAAACTTTCCGCACAGAACCTCGATTGGTATTTTTCTTTCATAATAAACCCGTAAATATATTATGGTAAAAACGATAACCATATCATTTGGTATATAAAGATGACGGCAATGCATGCAATACAGCTTTTCTCATTACTGAATGTCAAATATGGTCCGTTATGATGAAATAAAATCTTTACCTCGAGAGCCGGTGATGGAGCCTGCCGTCTGGATCCGTGTGTAGAGTGATACAGACAGGGAACCCTGTGTGACATTTACCACGGGGTCGTTGTGCTTCAGCATGTAGCTAGTAGCGTGAGTTCGCCTGTGATCAAGTATACATACCAACTACTGTTTTTGTTTTGTAAATTAACCACTTTACCGAATCCAGAGATAAAGGTCAACAGGAACATTTTGTGATTATTTTTGTCAAACCATTCAAATTGAGCATACTTAATTCTGTTACACATATTACGATGGACATCAGGCAATGTGTGTACGTATGTTGTAATGGATATCACGGTATTGTCTATTTACGGGTTATAATAAACAATATGGTAAAGTTTGTGTACGTTTTATCATAGATTACATGGTAGGTTTGTTAACATTCAGGATAAATGGTGTAAATTGATACTTCTAGTTCATATTTTGTTGTTTTGTATATCTTTGCGGAGAGTTCAATGTGTATTTAAATTGGTGTGAAAATATTGAATATAAGATCAATTCTTAGATAACAAAAGTGATTTATTTTCTTGTAGTTCTGATTAAAATTATGTCCGATTCAATTAAACCATGTTCATCACTCTAATGTCAATCATTTAAATCTATATGCGAAACAAACGTTTGGGATTTGACCGGTATTTCTTAATGCCAATCGAAAATAATATTATAAAATGTGTATAATGGTCTTAGTATCTAACCAAATTATGAGAAGACATAGTTTGAACACCGGCCGACGGTATCCACTACACATAGTGTGAACACCGGCCCACGGTATCCACTACACATAGTTTGAACACCGACCCACGGTATCCACTAGTTTGAACACTGGCCCACGATAGCCACTACACATAGTGTGAACACCGGCCCAAGGTATCCACTACACATAGTGTGAACACCGGCCCACGGTATCCCCTACACATAGTGTGAACACTGGCCAAATGTATCCCCTAGTGTGAACACCGGCCAACGGTATCCACTACACATAGTGTGAACGCCGGCCCACGGTATCCACTACACATAGTGTGAACCCCGGCCAACGGTATCCACTACACAAAGTGTGAACACCGGCCCACGGTATCCACTACACATAGTGTGAACACTGGCCAAATGTATCCACTAGTGTGAACACCGGCCAACGGTATCCACTACACATAGTGTGAACACTGGCCCACGGTATCCACTGCACATAGTTTGAACACCGACCCACGGTATCCACTAGTGTGAACACTGGCCCACGATAGCCACTACACATAGTGTGAACACCGGCCCAAGGTATCCACTACACATAGTGTGAACACCGGCCGACGGTATCCACTAGTGTGAACACCGATCCACGATATCCACTGCACATGGTGTGAACACCGGTCCACTGTATCCACTAAACATAGTGTGAACACCGACCCACGGTATCCACTACACATAGCGTGAACACCGGCCCACGGTATCCACTACACATAGTGTGAACACCGGTCCACGGTATCCACTACACATAGTATGAACACCTTTCCACGATATCCACTACATATAGTGTGAACACCGACCCACGGTAACCACTACACATCGTGTGAACGTCGGCCCACTCTATCCACTACACATAGTGTGAACACCGGCCCACGGTGTCCACTAGTGTGAACACCGGCCCACGGTCTCCACTACACATAGTGTGAACACCGGCCAACGGTATCCACTACACATAGTGTGAACACCGGTCCACTGTATCCACTACACATAGTGTGAACACCGGCCAACGGTATCCACTACACATAGTGTGAACACCGGTCCACGGTATCCACTGCACATAGTGTGAACACCGGCCCACTGTATCCACTAGTGTGAACACCGGCCAACGGTATCCACTACACATGGTGTGAACACCAGTCCACGGTATCCACTACGCATAGTGTGAACCCCGGCCAACGGTATCCACTACGCATAGTGTGAACCCCGGCCAACGGTATCCACTACGCATAGTGTGAACACCGGTCCCCGGTATCCACTGCACATAGTGGGAACACCAGCCCACGGTATCCACTACCCATAGTGTGAACACCGGCGCACGGTATCCACTACACGTAGTGTGAAAACCGACCCACGGTATCCACTACCCATAGTGTGAACACCGGTCAACGGAATCCACTACACATAGTGTGAACACCGGCCCACGGTATCCACTACACACAGTGTGAACACCTGTCCACGGTATCCACTACACATAGTGTGAACATAGGTCCACGGTATCCACTGCACATAGCGTGAACACCGACCCACGGGATCCACTACACATAGAGTGAACACCGGTCCACGGTATGCACTACACATAGTGTGAACACCAGCCCACGGGATCCACTAGTATCCACTACACATAGTGTGAATCCCGGCCCACGGTATCCACTACCCATAGTGTGAACACCGGTCCACTGTATCCACTACACATAGTGTGAGCACTAGCCCACGGTATCCACTAGTGTGAACACCGACCCACGTTATCCACTACACATAGTGTGAGCACTAGCCCACGGTATCCACTAGTGTGAAAATCGGCCCACGGTATCCACTACCCATAGTGTGAACACCGGTCCACGGGATCCACTGCACATAGCGTGAACAGCGACCCACGGGATCCACTACACATAGTGTGAATACGGGCCCGCGGTAGCCACTACACATAGTGTGAATACCGGCCCACGGGATCCACTACACATAGAGTGAACACCGGTCCACGGTATCCAGTAAACATAGTGTGAACACCGGCCCACAGTATACACTAGTGTAAACACCGAACCACCGTATCCACTAGTGTGAACATAGGCCCACGGGATCCACTACACATAGTGTGAATACCGGCCCACGGGATCCACTACACATAGTGTGAATCCCGGCCCACGGTATCCACTACAAATAGTGTGAATACCGGCCCACGGGATCCACTACACATAGTGTGAATACGGGCCCGCGGTAGCCACTACACATAGTGTGAACACCAACCCACGGTATCCACTAGTGTGAACATCGGCCTACGGTATCCACTAGTGTAAACCCCGACCCACGGTATCCACTAGTGTGAAAATCGGCCCACGGTATCCACTACACAAAGTGTGAACACCGGCCCACGGTATCCACTAGTGTGAACATCGGCCCACGGTATCCACTACACATTCCTCATGTTTTGTTTGTTTTTAACGCACATCTTGCTTTGTACTATTTTTTTCTTTTTAGTACGAAAACCTTTGGTTAACAAGCCATATTGCAGTAATTATAAATCTTACCACTTTCTACATATCGTTTATTTGCCAACTACTGGGTTATTTCGATGGATTTTTTTTTTGATGATTTTATTTTATATAATATTGATACAAAACAGGTATTTTCATTTTCACACTCTCTTGCACACATTTTGACACTTAATTCACTCATCATCATCCTCACAATCATCATCAATATCCTCGTGATTGTCGTCGTCATCATCATCATTATCATCATCATCATCATCATCATCATCATCATCATCATCATCATCATCATCATCATCATCATCATCATCACCATCATCATCATCATCATCATCATCATTATCATAATCATTCTAATTTATTTATGAAATACGTTGGACTGCTTAAAAAATCACCAGTAAAATCTATATGTCAATAATACCGATATTTGTCTTATTTTTATAGTCGATATGTTCCCCATGATAAAACAAAAAATAAATATTTCGTCTCGAATTGCATAAATATAGCACTAAATGGTCGCAAACCCATGATGTTGCTTATCTTTACAGAGTAAAAGTTTACATCTATACTGGGGTTTTAATGGTAACATTTGCACTTTAAAATTAGTCCGGCTACAAAACCCAAAAATTCCCACGCTAAAATCGTTTGCGCAATTCAATCTAAAGATAAGGGCTAAAACAGTGTGTATTTCGCTGCACACATTTATTATTTGTGTTAAAGCATTTATCGTAATGGCGTTTTAAAAACAAAGTGGTTGTCAGCATCATACCTGATGCTTGGCTAAGGCCAGATCAACTGAATTTCTTGATATTTGAAGGATTGTTGTCTCTATTATAACATTTGTGACCAGATTCTAACGTAAACATTAGGCACGCTTGGTTATTCCGTTTTCAGAATATTGTGAACGGGGGTTTGGTCAGACTAACGAGCCGTAGTTCTGACATACCGGAGAAATGGTACATTAAAATGATCGACCGTTAAATGGGGAAATCATCTTCAATTGACCTCAGCAAAACGATGTACAAACAAACACAATTCAGTTCTATGTAAGTATTTGTATACGTTAAATATATTCCGACTGGTCAGAGTTTATATTAAATATTAATTTCAAATTTTCTGAAACTATGTCAACATTAACAGTGACTAGTTTTATATATACGTGTAGGGTAACGAGAACGTGCGATAGGTGTCCCCTGATACAATTGAAATAAAAAATGTAAACAGCCGGAAAAGGCCCTTTACTTTGTACTTAATGTACTACAGTTTTAGGAGTTCACCCACCGTTAGTTTGGATGTCAGTAACATAAACACAACATTTGTTTTATACAGTCCTGTACATAATTGTACGGACTTTCAAAGAGATATGAAATATCAGAATTGTATACTAACAGTATAGTGTATGTATATTAAAATACTATATGGGGCAAAGAAGTAATTCCAACAGTGCAAGTTTAGGTTGTCAAATTTTCGGAGCGATCTGCTCCTTTATCGAGACACAGTGAAACATGATAATATAATAAGTGATAAGTTTCTTACCTTAGAGAAAAAAA